TTAAGGGGTTACAATTTATTCCCCACCCGGGGAGGGTACTAATATCCTAGTCTCTTGGGGCTTCGTACCACTCGTCCTCCTTTCGTAACGTATTGGGCTGTAACAATTATACTGCTCTCGTCTAAAAGACGACACAGTTGTGTACACAACACTATGGCTCATAAACCAGTTTGCGTAGTCGATTCTTTTCTGTATTACACCTGGTCTGTTTCTGTCAGCTAGTTAGGGCGCCTCGCTAGCTTCACTCGAAACAACAATACTAGAAGTTCCTTCCACAATAYATGTACTTGTACCCCTTGGTCACACCCTTTAGTATTTTCGTCTATTTAGTTCAACTATTTAATGACTATCCTCTAAAGACTTATGATATGAACATACCTTCATGCAATTTTTACTATATATTAGTGTTACTTTTATACATTATATATTTAGTTCTAGTTATGTGTAATCCTTAGATATATACTCGAATATTTTCCATCTGAATATTAAACCTAGAAATGCACTCATTTGATTAGCGAAACATAGCTTAACGATTCTATACAATCTTGTATAAACAACTAGTATGAAATAGCTATCTGTACCCAATGTAATCAGTTATTAGAAGTCATTTTGGAGTTTAAATAATGAAACATAAAGAATAACGTACAATCTAAACCCGAGTCCCAGATCCTCCTTCTCCTCATCGTCATCATCACCATTGTTATCATCTTAATTATCATTGTTTTACTATTATTATTTTTACATCATTATCCGATTGTCCATCATCATTAACAAACATTTTATTTGTACCAGAAATCGATTTAAAAATATGAAGGAAAAACAAAAAAATAGATGTTTTTATAACGCCATAGGAAAACACAAAAATCCCCCAAGAGATTCAAACTTTCGTCCCCTGGTTTACAAGACCATGCAGTGCTCTAACCTAACCGCTGAGCTACAGAGGCGATCGCGATAAATTTTGTCTTCAAAAAGCAGTTGTAGACTTATGAGTGTGAAATATGAAGTACCACACTATTTCAGACTTACGGTAAACATTTCAATTCTGATAGCAATGGTCTCTTAAATTTCACTTTCAATCGGCCCATAATTTGGCGCAACACAGGGATCCCGTAGTAGCTAGTTCCAGTCTCCAACAGACCATAACACACGTATAAGATCTTTCGTCTTGTTGACCTTAAGTAGACCACATTTTAAAACATATTAGCGGTGCTCTAACAGACAAGATCGTGTCCCTAAAGCAATCTTCGTGGATTAAGCAGGGATGAGTAGTACTCCAAAGGCAATTTTATTCTGCATTTGATCAAAGCAAAACATCTTTTTCGATCGATATGTCTTCAAGGGATGTCGAGGTCGTTCTAATTTTGAGATCAAAGGCGGACGTTGACTTCACCCTTTCTGATCAAGACGGTCATATCATTGCATCCTATTTCTCAGAAGAGAAATCGAAGATTCCAGGTAGCTGAGATTGCGATCTTTGTTTACATTTGATTGATATCAGATAAACTTTGATTTAAGAGCAAGATTCAGCCGAGTGATGGGTGTTTTGAGTAGAGACTACCCCTAGCCTCTCCCCCTCAGTCGAATGTGTTTGACAAATTAAGTACCCTCAATGAGGTCCAGATTCCCAGGTTTTGTCCCTGGGGGGGTTGGTGTACATACACTTCAAATGAGGTTCAGGTGTTAAGAAAAGCAAAGGACAATATTACTTCTCCCCCCCTCCCCCTTTAGTACCCTCGCAAACAGGTACAAAATCCTGTGTTTGGTTCCTGGGGGTGTACACTTCAACTGGGAATGGTTGGGGTGTCGTAAAAAAGTAAAGGGCCTGTCTTCAATATGTTAACTGCCCTGACGTTGACATAACCTTATATGTAACATAAATGACAATGTACATGCTGCTTAGCTGCTGGCTGCATTAATATTATGGGGTTTTCAGTTGATTGGTTATTTCTAGTTATATAATATTATCTTTTAAACAGATTTATGATACATATAGTTCTGGGTTATGCCTAAATTTGGATGTATAGCAGTTTCAACACAAGTGTGCATACCTCGTATGACTTCGGGTATAGTGGAGTCGCATTATCTCAAACATCCAGGGGATCACTTGGAAAAAGTTTGAAATAACGGACTGATTTCCAGATATTGCAGGGCCGTAACCAGGGGGGAGCAAAGGGTGCAAGTGCACCCCCCCATAAAATATTAAGGTCCACTCTTCCATCTCCTTTTTTTTTTCTTTTTGCACGTGCACCCCCCGCCCCTCCTTAAAAGCTAAATTTCAGCTCATCCATCTCCTTTTTCTTTTTGGTTCTGCTTACTTTCGGTTACCTTTTTTTTCTTTTTGGTTCTGCAAATTATTACCTGTGCACCTCCCTGCAAGATCCCTAGTTACACCACCGAGTTGGTAATAAAAAAACGATCAATGGTCCGATTTTATTCGATGTGCACCCTCCCTGTAAAAGTTCTGGTTACGGCCCTGTATTGAGGGTAAAATTGTAGTGATGCAAGTCAAGAGGGCATGGCCTCAGGTGCGAGATAACAGATCTATATATCTGCTTGGGGCTTATATTTATATTGTTGGATAATATTCTTAGTAAGTAGGGTGTAAGTAATGCTCAAAATACCTTCTTTTCTCTATTAGGCGGAAGTTATTTGTATTCCATAAATAACCATCCACTCCATGGCTCAGCAGCTACACTATTGAATGACGTTAATCACACTATTGACTCAGAGGAAAGCTATCCATTGACACTGATATTCAAGAGTGAGCCTGACAAGAAATTAAAAAAGAAGTTGACTGTAAGAAACTGAACTAATTAAGTAAACTAAAGACTAGGCAATTATGATAAACTGAACAATGGCAAATTAAATTAATGTAGTCTTAATTGCATAAATGTGAAAATATTCATTTTTTTACCACAAAAAAACTCAACAACTAAGGTTACATTAAATTTTGAAACGATTGGAGAAGGTTATGAGCTARCCAGTGGCGGATCCAGGGGGGGTCGAAGGGGTCCACGGAACCCCCCTTGAAGGTTTGATCTTTTAGGTAATAGAAATATGTCTTATATAAATTTTAATAAAAAAATATTAGTAGTTTTGTGTTGGGTTGTGCTATTATAGCTTGGTCCATTACTAGATAGTAAATTGATGGTGATTAGAGCCAGTTTTTTTGTCAAACATTGACTAAACAAAAGAGAATTATACACGGTTTAAGAAACGGAACCCCCCTTTGAAAAATCCTGGATCCGCCACTGCTAGCTGGAGAGTCTAAATGAACATTCTACAAATTAATTAGCTATGATGAATGGTAGTTTAAGCCATAGCATGAAGCATTAACCCTGGCTAGAGTAATGAATTTTAGTATGAAAATTATTTGAACTCTACTTTTAGCTTCCATTACCTGATGACTTCTTGGGAGAAATTCCAGCCCTGACAGAGGAAGAAATTCAGGAATATACGAAACTAGCCAAGACATGGGTGCAAGGTCTTCTGGATGCCTCAACTTCAGATAAAGTATGTATCAATTCAATCTGTAACATGACTGGCAAGCAAATCCATACAACTACCCATTGCAATGCATCATGGGATATCTTGGGGGTCATCAAAATTTATCACCTCCCCTTTCCCTTCCCAGTCCTATCAATAGTTGCAATATATTTGTAGTACTGTTACAATTTAATGTTAGAATTAATGTGAAATATTTTGTAGGGCTTCAACTACATTTGTACTAAGGAAAATGTTGATATATACCAAGGACATGACCCTGATAAAAAGGTAACAGAACCTAGAATATAGCAGTTGCAAAGGGACTGCAGCGAGGGAKGCTGGGGGGTGCTTCGTCAGGGTAAGATCTAAAGGATGGGTGCAGGCAACCCCCCTAGATGAGATGATATCTACTGTGTTATATATGATGCTTGAGTTTTTGAACATCGTGATCATAAATGTTACACCCCCTCCTAAAATAAGGCCTTGATGCTTGCTATTGATAGTTGGTTATACCCTATGAAATATCACATCCCAACCACTTGGCCCCCATCCCCCTCCCCCCAACACACACACACTTTTTGGATTCTAATTGGTCCCTGAAGCTGGTACTTGATCACATTATGTACACAATATGGCAATATATATTCTCCCCACACTGACCAAGATCCTCTCTGTCATTTAATGCTAGATTCAGCTAGTTCGTGGTCAAACAAAGATCAAATGTTCTGTGGACGAAATGAGAGCATTTATGATTGCTCCTACAACGGATTCATTCAGACGACTCTTTCACATGATTGGTCAGTTTTCTATAATATTATTACTATTAGTAATAATGTTATAATGATGCAGCTGATTAGACGATTAATTTTAAAAGTTTTGAGTGGGAAACAATATAACAAAAAATTGTTAAGAATGTAAGCCATTTCAGCATTAACATTATGGCATGATGTAGTATTTACTGGCTTCTCAAGTGAAAACCATTCTCAAAGTCAGTACCATGTTTCCCACTCATGAATATGACAATTATGGCTCTAACTTCTTACGCACTTTAAAAGTGAATGGGCTTTGCATAAAGACAACTGTATCTGATTCTGACACTGTCTCAAGTGAAAACCAATCTCAAAGTCAGTACCATGTTTCCCACTTATGAATAAGAAAATTATAGCTTAAACATGTTATGCACTTTAAGAGTGTATGGGCTTTGTATAAAAGATAACTGTGTGTTAGACAAATTAATCACCAATATTTATATTTGACATTACGTTTTCAGATGTTCACTTCCAAGATGGCTTGGTGCTCCACAGATTTCCAACCAACTACAAGCATCCAGACGTTCCCTTTTATTCCATCAAATGGGGTATAATGGGAATACAGTCTAGTCCACTGTGGTTACGAGATGTATGCTGGCTGGAGTATGGTGATATGATGAATGATGAGAATGGTGTTCAGATGGGGTTTGGTGTGGTAGGTGATCCACCATGATATCCCTTGATTAAATACAATCTGTATCAATTTGCCTCAGTGCTGGTAATAATGTAACCAACAAATATATTCACTACCAACCCACACCCGCATGAAAATCCCATAACAAATCCATGAAAATCCCATTAAACTGTATTTTATTATGGCCGTGAATATTGCATTTCTGAAATTCATGGCCCAACTTCATGGCCATGAATTTCCCATGAAATTGGGTTAACAACTATTTCAAGAAAAGTTGGTAAAGGTTTTGTTGCATCTTGCTAATTACTAAGCTTCAAATGTAAATAATGTCAGCACTAGAACATCATACCAGAAAAATGTGCAGACAAAGTTTAGGAAAATTTTATACCTTTGTGACCTTTCGCTGATTGAATTCACATCGCCCATAGTACATTTTGGACTTGGTTTGCAAGATGCAACAAAACCTTTACCAAATGCTTTTGAAATACCAGTCCTGTATAACTTAATAGGGCTTTTCTCAAAATGAGAAGCACAGGTGGTGTAGCGGTGTGAGTGCTTGCCTCTCATCAATGCAACCTGAATTCGAGTCCCGCCGGGTTTGGTGTTGTATATAAGTAGAGTTGTTTGTTTGTTCTCTCCTGTGCTTCGAGGGTTTTCTGGGTTCTCCGGTTTTCCTCCCTCCGCAAAAATCAATCCCTAAAATTCCAATTTGATCACGGAATGAGGGCCATAGGTTTGTTAGCCACTGGCTATTAAGTGCTACYCTCGTGAAAAAGGACGTTTTATGATCATATTCCAAAATATGAAGAGAGCCAATTAATTTTTTTTAAATGTTTGTCTTTAGAAAATTTAATGGTGCTAGAAGAGGTAAAGATGATGATCAATAAATGCAAGCTAATAAAATTAGGTTTACTATATTGATATTATTAACTTATTTACGTCTTCTTTTATAAAGGCTTCTTCAATTAAGAGGCCAGAGTGTCCGACAATGGAGAATTACAAATTAGTTAGGGCGGATATGATGTGCAGTGGTTATGTGTTTAGAAAGGTACCAGATGAACCAGACTGTATGCAGGTGGGTGTAATTTACTTATTTGAATCTCAGCAAGGTTCTTATTGGAACAGTTTATAATATTAGCCTGGCCAGTAGAGTACAAACACTAAGTGTGCAACATAAATAATATCACCAAATAGTGTTATTTTATGCTAATTCTATTGTTTTCTTTAGTTTAATTAGTGCTATTTACTGCTAAATAGTGATAACTATTGCACACATTTTGTTTGTACTCTATACTTTTAGGGGAATGTAAAAATATAGGGGAACTTGAAACAGAGTCCTGGATGGCTCGCTATAGTGTACTACGTTCCTACCGGCTTGTAACTGTTAGCAGGTGGGTTGGCCTATAACTAGGGGCTTCAACAGAGACCTTTAGCATGACATTCTTGCTAGGCATCGCAAACCTCAAACTGCAGTTTGACGTCAAACTTTCGACATTTAGCAAGGCAACATAATGAAGTTGTTGCTGGAAGAGCTGCCATATCGCGGGGCTGCTTCTGCACCTGATCCCTAGCAGTTAACAGTAAACCTGATGCTAAAGGTCTCTAATATCTTGATTTTACTGCATCTGCTATAGGATGGGGTGGGGACAGTTGGCATCTTAACTCATTATTTATTCTGGTACTAGCTAGCTAGCACTGTTCCACGGGTCCCTGAACAGCTGTGATAGTTATATGTTAGTAGCATTTATCATGTAATAATACTAATTGATGAATTTTGGTGCTTAAGGTAACATACATTGTACAAGCTGATCCAAAGGGCTGGTTACCCAAATGGGCTGTCAACATGTTTGCCTGGCAAGAAGCCTTGAACTTGGCAAGGATACGTAATAATGCAGAGGTGAGTAAAAAAACTATGTTTATTGATGTTAGCACTAACGTTTACAACACAGTCTCAGTCACCACAATCGTTTTATTTGTCTGAAGGGGATTCACCAAGCCAAAGAAAAGATGTCGGACCACAACAGAAATGGAGGTAATTATGTAATCTATCCAGCATGCAGCTGACTGGTGAATTTTGTTTCAGCCAATCACAGCATGTTTAGGTGTTTTGCTGCTGGCCCTCATTCCCAGGCTAGTGTAACCCAACTGTGTATTAATTTTTTTCTGTTTTCTTTTAATAAAAAACATAATAATAATATGTGCCTACAAGAAGCAAAAATATGGAAAGGAAGAATATAAACAATTTCACTTTACCATGTTTGCTTTAAATTTTCAAGCTCCAAAAATGCTTCGGGCTAGTCATTTTGCCCACTCATGCTTTGTGTGCCACGTTCACCCAGCTGGGTATCCTTGCTATCATTGGTATTGATTTCCAGCGAAGATTAATTATATGATTGATGATATACGAGGGACCCATCATTCTAATCGGATAAAGGTTGGTCTTGCAGGCTATACTTGTTGCAGTGGTTCAGCATGTAGCAGTCTTTAAATTTTTTAATTGTCTTTTAGAATATTATACGGAGCAGCTGAGATCATCATCCACCCTCAGCCAATAAACATCTTCATCAACAGGGATGAAGGTTCTTATCTCTTTCCATGAAATAAAAACTTTCCATTTTGTTTTTAAGCTGCTGTCCAAGGTGTCCTCATCCCACATGGTAAACAATATGACATTGATATCAAAGTCACTGGCCACATGTCAGTGCTTTCGTTTGGCTTCAGCACCTTACAACATGACATTGGGTAAGTCGTCATCATATTCCTGCTGAAAATTCTTTGGAGTCCTGCAAGGAACCTTTTTTGGTCCCTTCAAAATTTGATCTTGTATATGCAGGTCTGCACTATTTCAAGTGTGGAGAATATGCCACTAAAAATAGATTTCTTCATCGAAAATTATTCAATAGATACAGGGGAAGGTACAAGGAGTGCTCCAGAGAACTGTTTTGGGTCCCTTCAACATTTATTGTCTTGCAACTGCAGATTTGCAATAAGTAAAGAAATAAACAAGCCTAACATTAGAATGTTATGACAGGTTTTATATAMGTGGATTGACCGGAGATGTGTCCTGGAGTGAAAACACCAGATACCAAGCTGATCAGTCACCCATATCAGGACAGGTACTTGTTAAATGAAGTCGTCCATCTATCTAATATTAACCTTATGCAGAACTCTTTCAAATTATTATGCAACAAGAAACATCACTATACCATGGGCATTGAATTGCGAGATCTATGTTGGGTGGTCTACCACAAGGAGAGATTTCATGATTATATGATTATCATGATGGTACTCATGGATTGGATAAGATGAAATGAAATGGTGTGAGCTAGAAAAGGTTAAAATGTGCAGTGAGGCAAGGGGTACTGAGCAGGTGCAAAAAACCTTAACAACAGAGAAGGAAACAAATCTAACAAACTTAAGATAATGCATTTGATGCCCCAGTCTGCAGGTATCTAACCCTGATCTCATCTAGATGCTGGCCCATCCTTTCAGTGCTTTCCTTTTTGGGTTCCATGTACTTGTCATGACTAGCCCTAACCCACCCCTTTAGCAGTGAGAACGAAATGCTTTTATGTTATCTGCCCACCTCACCATGAATCTAAATATAAACAATCCTTTACTTACTTAAACATTAACTACTGTTTTCCTTAATTTTTTTAGGTTAATCTTTTTGAAGGTCGATATCATCTAGTGTTTGATAATTCCTACAGCTGGTTCAAGTCTAAACAAGTGTATTATTGGTTCAGCGTCATGGACAGCTGACATCAGCCAAGTCCAGTTTAAAATTAGCAGGGGATAGGGTGGATATTTCAGGCATAAGTTTGAAAAGACTTTTTCAGCTTGAGTGCAATGCTTTTCTATTTTGGGCCAGGAGGTTCAAGCCCTGACCATACACGTCCACACATTTAAAAATTCTAAAATGGGAAGACAATCAGAAGCGATTATACTCATGCTCTGAGGAGCTAGAAAAATTTTGTTTATGTGGTACAAAAAAAAGCTATCACATGATTTTGATGATTTTGGACCGAGATGAAAACAACCAGGTGCTACAGTTTACTGATTGCATAGTTTGAGTTAATCATCCTTGAGCACTTGATTACAAGACTGCCTGGGGAAAACATTCTCCATCCAACATGGCTGCCATATGAGAAAAGTTGTAGTTCTCCTAACCACCCTTACTTATCCATCAATAAACAGACAAGGTGTATAGTATTTATGTAACGGTGTAGGCTAAACTATTGAGCTGTATTTTGTAACTTTGTATCCTTTCGAAAAAATTAAAGAATTAAAAAATCATGATAGGTCCATAATATCGACACAATTTTAGCATGGATTTCCAGTTTGACTTATTTAAATATAACTAAACGTATTAATTAAAGCACAATGCTGCCTTTTCATTAGTTTAGCACTTAGTAAGTAATCATGTCACAATGGGAGGCTTGAAAATATTATGAGCATTGAAATAAAATGAATAAAGAAAATTTTGTCTTCAATTTTGTGGTTCTTTTAATGTGCTATAAAGGAACTTGAAAATCTAATGTATGCTACATCAGATGTTTCTAAATCTTTATACACTGTAGTGAAGTAAAAAATTATGTGTCATAATTGGTGGACACACAATTATGAAGAAATTTGTTTAGATTGATTGTTCAATTGCCATCCAGAAATATATTGGACAATCCAACAAAGCAAATTGACAAAACCTATTGTTAAGATGGTTGGCACACTAACACCACAGTGACAATGTTTATAAACATAATGTGCACCAATAAGAAAACAAGAGCAAATAAAAAATAGGGCTTTTAAAAACAAGCTGTCAATTGATGTGTACGGGCAAGTATCTGTAATATGTTGTTACTGTATATATGTTAACTGCGAATTGCAAGGCATACCAAGAAATGTATGAGTAGCAGATGTCGATAAAAAAGAATATGACGAAAAAGGTTTGCCATTAGATGCAAAGAGATGACGCAATATGTCAGATTTCGATGCAAGGTGTACCAAGCCATGTATATGAAGCAGATGTTGGTAGAAAAAAAAGTAATAAATATTGCCTTTCTTTGCAAAGGGCCATCAAAGTAAATTGTTTTTTGAAGTACACTTACTAAATCTTTCGATGCATGGAAAAATAAAACTCACTGAGATATGAAATGTTTCAAATGCAAGAGTCAAAGACAATGCTTTGATATGAAAATGCAAAGCTATGTGACTGGAAACAAAAGTTTTATAAAACAATTATTATCCATGTTCCCATAGGAAAAGTCGTTTGCAATAAGCAAAAGAATAACTTCAGGGTTTAGGCAACTCATGCTGCTTTGAGAGGTTGAAGCAGCTAAAAAACTGTAAGTGTATTGATGTCATCAAGAGAGACAAGTACATACAAAATTTTGTGTGAGTGCCAGCAAAGGCTCTTCAGAGTTTCATTGTATCCTGGTGTACCTCTGTTTGAAACAAGACAATAATTGCTAAATTGGTTTCAGTTGTCTGGGTACCTAGTATATTATGTGTTCCTGATTTGAGCTAGAGGAAAAAAGAATTTGTAAGAGGTGTTCAAATTTCATTTACCAAGATAGCTTGTATTCTTGACTAAAGCTATACAAAAATCATCTTTGACTATTAAAAAGTCTTAGTTTATTTACAAAAAGATAAAAGTACTATGATGGCTGAAGTTCCTGGAAGTAAGCCCATTTCTTGTTCAAAAATTGAGCATGCAGGTACAGTGTAGGCTTCACTTTGAGAGCTCATATTCTCATACTAAGAAGTCAAGAGTATCTATCCAGTGATCCGTAGTCTCAAAGAGAAAAAGTATTGATCCCCTAAAGATGTTTTTTGGAGTGAACCCACTTTGAAAGTGAAATGCTTTTTTGTTCATAAGGATATGTGTATGTTTAGTTGTGTGTGTTTTTTTGGGGGAGGGGAGTGGGAGGGGTGGGACAGGATGGTAAGTGTTAAGGATATATTTAGAGTCTGATCTTGGATGCACATAAGACAAGTATGTATATCCTTGAAATGTATGTACCATTTTGTTTAGTAGTGTTTTTTGGGGGGGAGGGGTAGGATAGGGGGACAGGAAGGCAAGTAGTAAGTTATTTTACGAGTATCTAGGAACGTTCCATGTTACCAAAAGACTTGCGTCATCCAATAGACAGGCTGTCAGTGTTATCCTTGTAGTTCACCGAGGTATATCTTCTTATCACTTCCACAAGACAACACTGCAATGGAACAACACAACCCATGTTGTAAGATACACTGACTTCAGTTAAGTGTACCTGTTTATATTACAGTGCTAGAAAACATATATTTGCTTGATGGCCAGACGTGACAAATGGCCAATCAAGGGGATTGGCGTCAGTCACTAAGAGATATTTCACTGGACAAGTGTCAATTTTGGCTGGACAGTTGTCTGTTGACTGGCCATTATATCTAGCCCTGACTTCATTCCCATCATTTATGCTTAATTCATACAGCTCAAACTGATTACTTGCTAGTCTGTTTGTTGTTTTTTTACAAGAAATATGATAGTTCAACTACTATAAACAGGCCATGTTCAATATCTTTAAATTCACAATAAATTGATTGCAAGGCCTTTGGTTGTATGAAACTTCATATTGTATGGTATAAATGACTGGATCACAAAATACATATATTGGTAGGAATACTATATACAGTATGATGTTCCTACCTTTCGGCAATGATAAGAAAATTTAGACCATTACATTTATGTTGCTTTAAAGCTGTTTTGATAATGGACAAACCACCCAACTCTCCCCCTCTCCCAGAACTGCCCTAATAGATTTAAGTAAATTGTATGCTAAACACAAACATCTAGCCATTCTATGCAAATGTTCTTAGAGTCGTTACTCAATATCATTGAGTGTTGACATAACAACTTTAAGGATGTCTGCATAGGAGGCTTAGAAATATCAAGCAATGTGATCATTGTAACTTACAGATCGGTTCAGTAGGGTGAAAATCCACATCATTGACAGATCCATTGTGTCCTGGAAGCTTATAAAGGATTCTTCTGGAGTTTGTATCCCATACATAAACACACCTGAAATACCACAACGAAACATATCAACCACAAAATACCAAGATAGAATTATAATAATTCTTTAGTCTGAGCTCCCTAAATTTACAAAAGCCTCCAGCCTTTAACAAGCCTCCCCCTCTCACTGCCATCTCTACCACGGCAATCAACCAATCAAAAAGCCTTGATAGGGTCAACATTTTTCTTATTCACTTGTAGTATTCAACACACCAAAGCAGTCTCAACTAGTAAAATTTTTACTAGTTGAGACTGCTTTGGTGTGTTCTAGCCTTTATCATTTTATCCCTTTACGTTGCACAGGGCTCTACCATCTTACCTGAATGAACTATAGCCCAGGTTAGTTTGGTCATATAAAGGTAGTGTATGAGTGGCAAGGGTGTCATAGTAATTAACCGCTGGGTTCAAGCCATGGCTCAGACTGGATCATATGTGAATTGAGTTTGGAGGCTCAGGTATAAAATACGTTTTTAAAAGTATTAAATAAATGGTTTACCTGTCTGCAGATCCTGATGCTATCATTAGTCCATCAGGTGACCAGCCACATTTGATCAAGTTCTAAGAGGGGTACAGATAGTCAAAGTTAAAGTTGTCGCTAGAAACCTTTCACTTATAGGAAATCGCACCATTTTGAGTACAATTCAGAATTGATAAGTACAAGTCAGGTTTTGAAAGTTTTCAAGATTGGATGAGCCTTATGCAAACGTCCAATTTGAGAACTTTCAAAACATCAGGAGTGTCTACGCAATTCTGAATTGTACGTGAAGATGGTACGATTTTTTGTCTATACAGTTGAAGCTCTCCTTGTCCAATCACAATCAAGTAATTTTGTTGCGTGCAGCATTATAAATGACAATATCTCAATACCAAGGTGAAAATTCAAACATATTTAGTTTGAATAAGTTAGGCAGGCACTGCAAGTTCTATTTATGCTCCAGGTACATGTTACATAATTATACCATTTGAAATAAAATAAAATTAAAATCCTTGCATTCAAAAGAAGTTGAGAGGTACAGAGATTAGATTTCCTATGACTGAAACACTCTTCTTGATACAATAAGCATGACGGCTGGAAATAGGCAATGTACCACAGGCTTTTTAAACTCATAAGAAATCTGTGAATTACTTTATTACATACATCAAAATTAATCATAAATATAAGTATTACTGACCTTTTCAAAACTATGTTGAGCACCTAGAAACACCTTGAGACACCTTTCCATTGGAGCAAATGCTCGAACATCCCACATGCGAACTGTTGATGACAAAAAGTAAAAAATATTCTATGGTTTTTCAAAATTAGCCAAAAAAGTATTGCTTTTTGGAAGGCTAATTTTCAAAAAATGAACTTACATAAGACATTGACATACAAAGGACATTCACTGGGTTTCCTGTGGTTTATTTTAAATTAGCCCAGTAAAGTTAATGTAATCTGTGCCTACACTCTACAGCTTGATATATACCTGTGTTGTCCATAGAGTTTGACAGAAGGAATGAGCCATCAGGACTCAACCTTAGACCAGATACTGTGTCCGTGTGTCCTGACATTGTATACAAGATATCATTCTTTCTCAAGTCCCAAACCTAGAGTACAATGAAAAATACACTTAGGTACTGTTGCTACACTATGCCTTGTTTATCTCAATAAATAATACTGCTATGCTCTGTTATTGTTGTTGTTTTTGTTATTGTTGCTGCTATTTTTGTTTGTTGTTGCAGTTGTTGTTTTTGCTGCTGCTGCTGTTTCTGCTGCTATAGCTGTGGCTGTGGTTGTTCCCGCTGCTGTTCCTGCTGCTATTGTTGCTGTGATTGCTGCCGCTGTTTCCACTGCTATTGCTGCTGTTGTTGTAGCTGCACTTGCTGTTGTTCCTGCTGCTGTAATTGCTGATGATTATTATTAATTAGGAATATTACAATCATTACCTTAATTTGATCATCAATTCCACCTGAAAATATCTGGTCACTTGTATCACTGAAAGCCACTGCAGTTACCTAAAGAAAATAATGCTATAAAATTTAAAATGGGAATATTACAGCTCAATGCGCAAAAGTACTCTATGACCACATTAACTATTCGCATACCTTTAAGCACTGGATATCATACCTTAACCAAAATTTTTCAATGCAAAGCTGGATAAAAAGGTGGGTAAAAGCTTGTTTGGTAGCCAAAAGAAGAAGTATATGACTACAGTCCTTAAATGCTGTCATTTGCTGTATTAATGTGTGCTGTACAATTTATAAGATCAAGAATACTGTACCTGGTAAGCGTTTTGAAAGGTTTGCACACAGCCTCTTTTTCTTGTGTCCCACAGCTGAAATAAGATTATTCTATTATTACATTATTCTTGTTCAAACAAGTAACTGTGGTTCTCAAAAAGAAACGTAAAATCATTCAGCAATATTGCTGTGTTGTTGCTGATGACGATCATAACAAACACAACAATAATAATAATTATCATCGTCAGCTGTCAGTAACACAACAAATACTTTAATATAGTATCGCGATTCACTAAATAGTTTCTTATATTTTTGGGACGACAATATTTTGTGGTATTGTCGTTTCAAAATTAAGGTTTCCGATTGGATGAAAAGGAAAGCTTGAGCGCACATGCGTCAAATTTTTACGCTTGTTATTTGTGCCATAGTGCGCGCTCGTAAGGAGAATTTCATTTTTAATCAACAAAAATTGGTCAGGCTTTTTCCTTTTTTGTGTGTTAAATTTGTTAGAATTGTGATACAAAACTAATTACGATTTTGAGACGACAATACCACGAAATATTGACGGCGTTGGAAGAAAATATATTCTGTATTGGCGACTCCGCCCAGTACCGAATATATTTTCTCCCAACTAGTCGTCAATATTTCGTGGTATTGTCGTCTCAAAATCGTAATTAGTTTATAATATCAAAATGTGGATTTCTAGAAACCATCCATACCCTTGGGGATATCACGATTTATAAACTCAAAATGATAACATGATAAACTTACTTTAATGGTACAGTCATCTGAGCCACTAACAATATACTGCATTCCACGACGAGAAGGGCAACAGGAGTTTACAAATGATGTGTGTCCTTTTAGCTTTTTGATTCTTGAACCTGTTTCATAGTCCCACATGGCAAGAGTTTTGTCTGTAGAAGCTGTGAAGATTGTGCTGTACAAAATAACAAGTAAGAATATAAAGAAGTGTTTATAAAATGGTAGGCAGTTCTATTGCAACAATATTTTGTGATATTGGCAGCATGCACCCTTTCCCATGGGAATAAAAGAACAAAAGATAGGGCAACCATGTTGGTTGACATGAAAAAAAACCCACTAAGACCAAATATTTTGTCAAAGTCAACCAAAATGGTGGCTGCGATGTCACATGTGCCCCAAGAATGGGCAGCAGTGAAAGTGCAATATAGCAAAAACTGATATCATGATGATTTTTGAGGAAGTTGTGCAATATTTATAATCAGGAAGTTCACAAACTCAACGCCAATAACACGGTAGATTGTCAACTTATCTAGGGGGTACTAGCATCTAACATATTATTTCTTTACAGTGACATATGCCTCTCTTGAATATTCAGATGCATTCTGGTCTAATTTCAGTAGAGATTTCCGATTTAGCGGATTAGCGACAGTATATTCCACGCTCATTAATCCACCCGGAATATAGCCTGAGTATCAGGTCTTCCGAGGGGGAGGGGGAGAGAAGGGAAGGAAGCCGGCTCTCTCTTTCCCCTCTCCCGGAGAGCCTGATACTCATGCTACTCAGAATATAGGT